TTTTCTGTTGTTGTTGTTATTATTATTGTTATTGCATTGCCCACTAGTTTGTACTAGTTTTTATATAAGCCGTTATTATTAATGTATTATTAATTTTATAATCATCATCATCATCATCATCATCATCATGATCATGATGATTATCGTCATAGCAAGACATCGATTGTAAATGATATGCAAATATAGGTTAAAAACAAATGGGGATTTTATATACTCTTCCTGTTGTTATTTCTTGCTCATGTTGGGGCAAAAACTATACCAACAACAACAAAAACAAAAAAACCAACAATAACAAACAAACAATAGGGCACTAGTGAATTATGATATTACGGCTGCCTTTAATGTAATAAATTCATTATATTTTTATATGCTTTGGCTTATTATAGGCCGCCCGGTCAGACATGTGCACATCATATATATGTCTACCTTTTGTGTTTATTTAAATGCTTGTAGCAATGATTTGATTTAATTTCCAACATATGATGTCCTTCCATCCATTTCCTATTTAAACGCTTGTAGCAATGAATTCATTTCCAAAATAAAATGTCCTTCTTTTCATTTCCTACTTTTCCACAATACCATCTGAAACTGAAACTGATGATAACATTATGCTTTGACATTTTGCATACGTCAAAATAAAGTAGAACACAAGTAAAAAGATTATAGCGGGCAATGGCCAATCGGAAATTCACTTAATACAGTCCTTTCATATAAGGACTTTTCCAAACAAAAATATTATATGGGCAGTCGTCGAAAAATTGGACCGAATTGATCTATTTTCAATAGCGTTCGTCCTTGAGTCAAAACTATTTAGCGAACCGATTTTTATCAAGATATCTGAAAAACGGCCATCTATAGGTTACACACAAGAATAGAAGAGGGACAGGACAGATGGACAGATAAACTTAGATAATATACAATAAAAGACGGGTCTATTTGAAGTCCTTCTGAGTGTAACATCCATTTGCACAAAAACTTTATATATTTGCGTACCACAAATGGTTTAGGGAGCAATCACTCATACATATATATTTTTTTTGGCAATTTCTTATTTATTAAACGGGAAGCATTTGTATTGAAGGTTATATTTCTCTATACGTAAATATATAATGGGCCATACCGCACCATGAAATACCTTAAGCCAACTTACAGTGGCCCAATCCGAACCATTTTCATTAGCGTTTGTCATTTTGCGTCAAAATATCTCAACAATTGCGATCTATAGGTTGAACACAAGAAAACAAAACGGAGCGATAGAGGAAGGAGCTTAGATTAAGAATCGCTTTCGGTACAAAAAAAAGGGGGAAGATATTCTTCAGGGTGTTGCATACACCAGCATAAATTTAGTATATCCTTGTAGTACAAGAGCGGTGTAGAGTATAAAATTGTCCACCAAAATAATAGAAAATTGTTCAGAGAAGCAGAGGAGAGTGAAGATGCTTCATGTCGACTCCAAATGCTCACAAATTGATAATTTTTCAGTTAAGGATCAAAAGCATTCCCGACAAAATTCGAATGCGAAGAGTTGTTAAAAACAGTGATCATCCCTTGGAATGCATGGAATGCCGATTTCAAAGACATTGCTTCGCCTCTTTTTCTGTGTTGTAAAGCGGGTTGATTATGAAAAAACTTAAGCGGAAAACTATTTTGACGTAAGATGTGTTTTGTACCATGACGTTTAAACGATGATGAACTACGATATATATCTCAGCTGAAGTGTTGATGAAGGACCAACACTAACGCATTACATGCGATTCTATTGGGATTTTCACAAAGTCATTTCGTTTTGTTTTTCATCCAACAGAGGGCTTTATTGTATTTTGTCGTAGGTCAAGTTTACACTTGCGCCGCGTTGTCTTTATATAAAGTTTGTCTGGTTCTGCGCGATAGATTTTATTCGTTAGCCGAACGGGTTTCCCTATTTAGTTTGGCTAAACAGCATTTTCGACATATATACCTTTTCGTACGTTATACCAATTGTAGTGCAGGGTACATTAAGTTTGTACGGACGTATGTAACGACTTGGAAGGGCTTAAGGCAGACCCACCCTTTTATTATACCGATCGATTAAGACTCATTTTCAGAATCAATTTTTGAATCGATCTAAGCCTGTCTGTCCGTCTGCATGTTTGTCCATAAAAAGAATTTGTGTTCAAGTTATGATTTGCTACACTGAGATGCTTTGACCGGAAGACGAAACCTATTGAAAATGGCTTGAATATGCCCACTTTTTCTACCCCACGACCCATATAACGCTTTAGCTTAAAAAGCCGTTATATGAAAATAAAAATTGCAATTTTCAAAATTCCTCGACAAAGCTCACTCTGTAGTAGTATTTGACGATTCTAAATTAGTAAGAAAAATTTGGAACGACTAGAGCAATTTTTTGAACCTTCCTCTCATAAAACCGTTCCTACGAAAGCTGAATCTTTATGTAATAAAAAGATGGAATTCTCAATTTTTTTTGCGATGAAAATTAATTCGTAAGAGTAAGTGGACATCAACATCAACCTCATCACGTAGGTCTATTTTTTCGATACCGCCGCGCATATAAGGAGGCCTCCAATATGCGGACTGCAAATGCATACCTTTCATGAAATGGATGTGTAACTGTCGGTGTATTATTACCAAAACTGGTGAATAACTCTATTGGGCGAAGTTGTCTAGGGTATCGTAAAAGTCGATCTTATCCGACTATAATATTTTTACTTGTTTTCAACGGAAAAGGTTAAAATGCTGTTCAAGCAAGAAAAAAAATTGTGTATGAAAAAAATATATGTAGGAAGAGAATATTTTGACAGAATACCAGCGCCCAGACGAGTTTGCAAAATTTCGTTCTGGGAAATTTCGATGCTGAACATACAAGTTCTGGAAAGCTGCTGGAACCGGATGGCAAAAAAAAAAAAAAAAAACGTGAGCTCACTGAGAGAAAAAAAAATTGCCGAATCCAACCACTTACGACCACGTAAAAGCCAATCGGCTTTCATTTTGACCAACAATGAAGAAGAAGAAGAGGAGATAAAATGATTTGTCCGAATAATTCACAACATAAACAAATAAAATATAATGAAATAATTAATGTCGAAAAGGGCAAATGAATTAAAAATTGAATGAATAACGTGTAGACTATGCAACAAAAGCAGGAAGAGAAAGCTAGATGGACAGACAATGCCTTGCTTCCGCATATCACCCAAAAACTCAAAGCATTGATGTTATTATCGCTCGACAAGTCCTCTCTAGACTTTTTGTTCCGTTTGCTGTTATGGCAAACTCCAACAAAACAATCCCCTAAGACTTCAAAATACATAGTTAACGAGAATCGAGAAATGGGGTGGGGCGGGGAGGGGGGGAGAGGAGTTAACTCTAATTAGATAATAACACCTCTTTGTATACTAAAGTTGTAAACTAAATGTTAGTTAAGAAAAATCAAAAACCCATGGAAATTAATTACGACACCCTCCCCCTCTGCATCATCACTCACTCGTTACTCGCTTATATACACTCACTCGTTTATACGAATGTATGTTGTTTAGTGTATGATAAGATTTTTTTTTTTTTTTTAATATATATTTGCATTTTTTTTCACTTCATACACAAACACAAGCACACGCATACGTTTAAATACATACTTAAAACATTCTGGATTCATAATATTTTCATAAGTTATTACCGCTTTAAAGAAAATATTTAAAAACAAACTCGTTTTTCGTTAAATACAATAAAAAAAAATAATAAAAATAAAATTCATATTTTGCTATATTGAATGCTATTGTGGCTGGCTGTTGTTGTTTGTTATAGCTGGTGGTTTTTTTTTTTTTTTGCTGCTGTTGCTCTTGTTATTGTTGTTGTTCTTGTTGTTGTTTATATTGTTGTTTAACCACAAAACATGTTGTTTTTATTGAATTGGCATTAAGAATTCCATTTGATGTCTCGTATCTATGCGTCCAGTAATAAACATATATATATATATATATTTATGTATATTTATATTAATGCTTATATCTATGGATATGTCTTTGGAAATTCTATAAACTAGTTTAAGTAAATATTTAGTTTCTGCTGCTTTTAGTTTCATTTAAGATTTTAACAATTTTCCGCAAAAATTCCAAAATAACCTTAGATTAGTTTTCCATTATCTATTAGAAGAAAATAATCTTAATAACTATTGTTGGCTTAGTCATCGTACGATTCCTTAAGGTTCTTTCATAACAAGGGAATTAGTTACAATGCAACGACAGATAATGTGCATATAAATGCTTTATGACATAAAAAATACTAAAAAATTATTCCCTATAAGTGAGTAAGTTATCCATACCCCAAAGGCGGGGAGTAAGATGAACTGTACAAAAGCATTAGGTAGCCTTAGTGTCTTAGTCTCACACCGGCTTACTTTCCCGCCCTGCCCGCCTCTCCACAGGAGGTTACATCTAAAAGAAATACGAGTGCTTTACTCCTATACGAACAAATGGATGGACGAAACCTACTAACCGGACCAGCAGATCATAAGCCATGGGGTAATTTTGTACCCTACGCTACCTATGGTCTCATTCGGCCCATGATTTGCAATGAGATGGGATAAAAATGCTATTCAAAATCCGCAACGTATAATCTATCAATATTAAGATGCATCAAGGGAAGGATTAAAAGCTGATTCGTATCAAACTTAAAAGAGTCTAGAAGACGATAATTTCAAAAACATGGAGATGTGCATACCTTCGACCTAAAGTATTTATCATGGCACACAAGCACCGCTGTGCGCATTGGAGCTCTCTCACGAACGTCCACGGACGTGGAGCTCGTGTATGAACGTCTCGACTAAATGCGATTCGTAAACATTGATATCCTTTGAAGATCGATTGCAGAATACCGATCAGCGTACATCTCCTGATCGCAAACAAGATCAACAATTTCAAAACCTTTTACCTTGAACTTGCGCCTGTCCGTGTATAAATCGTCATACAGTTAAAGCGATCTTCGTTAGAAAAAAAAAAAAAGCAACAAAGTATCGCAACTTTTTTATTTAGTGAATTTTAGAAAATATACCCACATATATAAGGATCAAAGAAAGTTTTGTTTTAAATCGTTCACAAAGCCCGTTTAAATGCAATTAAAAAGAAAGACGTAAAGAGTACAATAATTAATTTTTTTTCGTTCTCAATAATTTTCTCATTTTAATCAGAATTCATCATCTCCGCTGTCTTCTTCCGAGACCTGTTCGATATTTTCGTCAATTTCATTGTTCGCATTGGCATTTATTAACATATTCAGAATATCATGTTGATTCTCGCCCATCAAATTCAATAAAGCGGGATTTGAATCGCCGACCTGCTGAATAGCGGCATTGACAAGTTCGGGATTATGTTCTATAGCCGATTGTAAACTTTGAAAAACCGGATCTGTACGAAACATCTCATACATGGATAATTCAGAATTTTCCGAGTCGTCGTCCATCATCATGTCAGTTTCACTGGGAATTGGGGATACGGGTATACCTTCAATCAAGTACTCTATGGCTCGCTCGGGATTACCAAAACTTGCCTCCAAAGCACGACGTACGTCAACCTCCTCATAACCCATACCAACAATTTGTTCTACTAAGTGCTCCTTATTAGGATCCTTAGGTGGTTGCGTCGTCTCAATCGCTGAAGCGGTATCTGTTCGAGGAGATTCTAGATTGCTTGCTAATATCGGTTCAACATTTGCCGTAATATTATTATTTGCCTCTTCATCGATGCTTTTAGTCTCGCTTAACGGCATTTTCGCTACAGATTGCTTCAGGATCATAACGACTAGAAATTTCTTGATATCAATATTGCAAGCGCCCAACTGATCTTGATTGCTGAGGATTTTACCGGCATATATAAGTTTTTGAAATTCCGGTTGGACACCAACGTCCGGATAGAGAGACAATTCCTTTTTCAAATCGAATACGGTTTGCGTCGGCTCAATATCCACCGTCATTAACTTATGATTGAGAGTTTTTATCTGAAGTTTCATCCTATGGGCCCGTTTTTGCTTTTTTTTTTTCCTTGTTCCCTTTTTATTTTTATTTTAGTTCAAATTTATTTTCAATTTTTATTCAAGCTATGCGCAACGATAAAGCCACAATAACATGTACAACTTTTTGAAAGAGTCCTAAACGGCAAAAATATATTTTCAGGTTGACTTTTTTTAAGGAATACCGGGTTGATTAACAATACAATGAATATACGATTCTTGGCTAAAAATTTTTCTTTTCTTTTTCTTTTTTGCTTTAATTTTTACATAGAAAAAAGTCAGAAACTTCACACAGACGCAAACACACACACGCATATAGTAGCTCGGCTAGCTTTGATTTATTTCCATTGTTTCTCAGAGTGCATTAGAGATTTATCGCTTTTAAATTTATGAACATTTTTATGCGCACGCACCCAAATGAAAAGGTAGACGAGTACAAGCTTAATCCTTAATCTTTGATAATATCCAAAAGAATACTTCATATGAGTCTACATATATATATTTCTCGTTTAAATTTCTTTTTGAAATGCTTGACGTGAAGAGATTAAATTTGAAAATTTCTTTGATCAGTGGCCGGTTTATAGATATATATATATATATATATAAAGAGAGAGAGAGTATATATAGAGTTAACTTTATCGCTTTATCGAGTGTCGAATGAAAAATCTTTCGATCGTAAAATTCCTGTCCAGCAACATACTGAAATAACGATCGACTTTACTAGATATCGAGAGAAGCACGACAACGATATTAAATCGGCTGCACCCACTAAGGGAAGTCCCTTACATGTGAGCTCAAAAAAATTCTGGAAAAATCTTTTCTTTTTTTTTTGAGATTCATGGTTCCGTGGCTATCACCATACATAACATTTCACTGAATTCTTTTTTTTTTTAATTCAATTATAAGCTCTTAATAATCACTATAATCATTTGGCCGCCTTTCAACTAATAACGTATGAACCACAGGCTGCGCTATGTTCATACCTCTTCAACTTTGGCAGAGCTGCTGACCTACTAAACCTGATCGGACCGATGTGAACTTGTGCCAATCAGAAGAATGCGGACTTGGAAAAGAAGCCGCAATCGGCATATGTTCCCAGACCATGTTAAAGATAACTTCCCGAATTCTTTTTGCTGGAGACAAACGGACGCAAACGTTTTCAGGATTAAACTTTCACAAACCACTTTCCAACTGTTTGATCGACTAGTGCGTGTCCACACCATGGCCAGTTAACTATATTTGTAGCGTCAGTCGCAGTTTCCTCCCAGCCAGACATGATTCAGAACATTCGCTTTTTCCTGTTCGATTATACGATGCCCTTGACAACTAAATTATACTGAACTTATCAGTTGAATTTCACAATACAGAGTACACAATATACATAAAAGGTAAATTTATAAAATATATAGATAATGTACAAAAAAAAAATAAACATCTGTGTAGAAAATTTCATCAAAATCTGTAGGCTTAACACAGGAACACAAGATGGACAGATGGACAGACAAGCTTAAATCGATTCAGAAAGTGACGCAGAATCGATTGGTATCAGAAAGGTGGATTTATCTAAAGTCCTTCGGGGTGTTTTTGCATACATTCGCATAACTAATGAGCATGAAGAGCCGAATAGGTAGATAAGAGTCGGTTCAAAACTCAATGCGGTGAAGTTTATTTTGCTCGTAATTATATTGAGTGCTTAAAGGCATAACACATACCGTTCGTGCACACATCACTCCACTAGGCTGCGGACTTTCCCCCAACTCTTCCGCTTCCCTCACTTGTTTTCGACCATTAGCGTATTACACGAATAGGTTCGAATCGGACATTCCCATTGGACTCGTATCCCATGCGTTGTATATAACAAACAAACAAACAAACAAACAAACAAAAAAAAAAAAAAAAAAGACAATATGTATATATATAGCCCTGTATCGCAAGTGATGTAGGATGTAAATTATGCTTTTTAAGGTAATGGACAATGACTGATTAAAACCATCAATGATTGTCCGTTAACTTAGGGATTCATTTTCAAATACAATTACGGTACCGGCGAATTTGCATGTTTAAGAAATCCTGCTCTTCACCCACTACATTGGTTCTGACGACACACATCATCTATTTCAGCTAAAATATGAAAATATAATAAAATTTGTAATAATTTTAATCTGTAAACATGAAGAAATCAGAAACTGACACGATTTTTTTTTGTTACTAATCGCACGAATTTCTCACAAATAAAAAGAATTTCAATGTTCAAATTTTAAGATAAAACCCAAAAAATTAAAAACTTGAAAGTATTATACATGACGGAAACAAAGGTTGGCTTCTACTTTTTTTTATTTTTTTTCTTTTCTTTTCTTTGAAAAATCGAAAACAAATCAAATTTAAATTTTTTTTTTATTTTACAAAGCAATATGCAGTATGCGCGTGTGTCAGAAAATGATGGGCCGTCCGCCTTGCCCTTTGGCAGGATCTATATGAATCTTTATCGAACATACCAATGTTTTTTAGATGATCCCCGAGGGCATTATGACGCACATAGAAGTCCATGACTAAACGTAGATCGCTTCTTTCCAGTTCCAGTAGTATTACTGCCGTTATCCTACACATTGTTTCCAACGGCAAACCCATTTCTTCTGCGCCCATTAATATGGCTTCAGGACCTAATATGGTTGCTCGGACTGCCCTGTTGGCTAGACAGTCAGCCCAATTCGTTCCCCTCAACACCCAAATGGCCAGGCACCCATATTAGGGGCACATAGTTGCGCCTGCCTAGCTCATTTAGTGTTTGAAGGGACAAGCCTAACACAAGCCTAGATCGTATCAATCGACCCCTTAGGAGCTTTAAAGCGACTTGACTGGCGGAGTAAATGCAGATCCGCTCTCTCCTGTACTGCCTTCTCCTTCTTAAGCATTCCGAAGCACATGGGGAGATTGCGTAAACTTCTGCTTGGAATATGGAGGAACTATGTCCCGTCTTGGAAGTAAGACGAATGACAAATACACAAGAATAATCTGCCGTCTTCGTTGTTAACGTTAATAATGATAACGCGCGCCCCGATGAATTAAACCGGTATTCGAATGCTCCAATCAAAGCGTAAGTAGAAACGGCATGGAAAATCCGTCTAGTCTTGTATTAAGCAATGAAGTTATAAGTTGTTTACAATGTGTGTACAACGATCACAAACACATCTTTAGATTTTCTACGGTAATATATATTTAATAAAAATCTCATTGTAATAGTATATATAAAAATGGACATGTAGAGTTGGTCCCCTTAGGGTTACAGAGGCACTGTCCGCAAATGCCTCGCGCCGGCGAGTTCCACTCCGACAAGAACACAAAAGGTAAATTCAAGTTGATATAAGTGAACTGCCAGGGACCGGACGTTCTAATCGGCCCCGATCAAATCTTTTATACTCATCATTACAATTAAAAAAAAAAAACCAAAATGAAAGAAAAAACTCTTGTAATATTAGGTGTTCGCGGTGGATTCTTTTTTTAGTCCTTATAAAAAAAAAAAAAATGTGGAAATTTATATCGTATATTAATTGTAGATTACGGACAAAAAAGCATCTTCTGTCTATATCTACTCTCAGAGGACTTTCATTTGATATCCATACCGACAACGTCCGCGATATATGATTTTCATAAAGTAAGTATGGAAGCTTCAGCCTTCTATCTTCCACAATTTGTGAGTAGTGAGCAAAAATTCACAAATTTATGTTTAGAGAAACACAGTTGTGTTCATTTTCCGTTTTAGTGTGATAGCGAGCTTTAACCAATTAGTCCCATTTTCATTACCACTCTCTATGCAACAACAACTTTTAATGTTTCTACGAAATTTGAAGACGATAGCTTCATTTGTGTGACCACAAGAGTGGCTACCGCAAACAGACAGATAGACGGACATAATAAAATCGATTTAAAATTTGATGCTATCGAATGTCTGAAACTTCCTTCAGGGTATTGCACTGGTTTTGGCAACAATAGTATTACCCATCATCTTTGCGTGATGAGTATAAAAAGAGATATGGACGTAAGCCCATTAACTCATGATTTACATTAATAAGTTTCATAAAAAAATTTTGCTTACAACGGGGGGGGAAGATCGGAGCAATTTCAGGAAGAATCTGTTAAATTGAACTAAAAACTTGTTTGGAGTTTGTAGGCCAACAGCCAACATTAAATACCCTAATATAAAAAGTGCGCGAAAAAGTTATCCGATCCGAACCATTTTGATTAGTGTTCCTCATTGGACTAATATCCAAATTTCCGCAAAAACATCTCAAAGACTGCTATCGTTAGGCTAGACACAAGAAAGCAAGATAGTTAAGGCGGACAGACAAGGCTTAAATTGATTCAAAAAGTTCTGAGACGATCGGTATAATAAAAAGTGAATCTATCTCAAGTCTATGTGAATGTTACATACACTTGCACAAACTTGTACTACACGTGGTTTAACGTATTAACAATACTATTTACTAGCGCCATCTGCATTTCAGAAAACCAATAAAAAATATATTTTAAATTAAGAAATATTTACGCTCTAATGTCCATGAAAATATTATGGATATTATGGGTAACGTACGCGACATTTATGACAATTTATTGAAAATGTTTCTTACTTGAACATAAGTCTATAATGAATGCAAGAATAGCGAATCAAAACGAATATAAATCCGCAAAACCCTTTAAGCTCATTAAGTATGAAATTAAATGTTTTTTTTTTATATATATAAATATTGAAATTTTAATTATTTTCTTCTTCTTTTTTTTTTTATTCATATTAATAACAATCAAAAGAGGAAATATTTCTTAAAGTGTTGGGTTATGTTCAAGATGCTAGAGAATGTTCAAGTGTGAATGTGCATTCAACAGTTTTAACAGTGTTTTTATAGACCATTTGCTGGGCACATATAAATAAACAAAATTAAACCCATATAGTAGTAAATGTAAACATAAACCAATTTTAGAAAGAATTTTGTTCATCAAAGGTTTTTTTTCTTCCTCGTATGAAAAAAGCTAAATAAACAATTTAATAAAATGTAATCATGAAAAAAAAAATCAAAGTCACTTATCAAAATTTTGTTTGTAATAAACAGACGCAAAATATAAACATTGAAACGAATACTTGAAAACAAAAATTCTCTTTTTTCATTTTAATTTTTATTTAATTAAATTAATTAATTTATAAAACTAATTACTACTTTCAAAATGATGGCAACCAGTTACAACAATTTTCGTAAATTAAAATGCAAGCATGGGGTCCAAATACATTTCACATAAATATACATTTTGAGACATAAAGAGCGAAGAAGAGCTAAAGGCGAGAAGTTTCCAAGCATGTACATACGAGAAAATCAAGCACGTACCCTCGTTTAGTATACTCTTATAATGCTATACTAGTAATAACAACACACAGAAAGAAGAAAAGCAAAAAAAAAAAAAAAAAAACCATACAAATTTCATTTAGGGAACACACAATAAAATAACATATTTCGTAAACAACACAAGCGCACGCATAAACTCAACTTTATATTTATATGCATATAATATATATATATATATATATATGCATATATACTGCCATCGACAATAACATAAATTCCACGAAAAACAGAAGTAGGGAAAAAAAAGCAGGCCACCACTTATGAAACAAAACAACAAAAGCAAAAAGAAAAGTAAATTTTCTCTTGCTCGTTTAGAAAATGCACCAAAATAAGCAAATTCGCAAATTTACCATATACATACATAATATGCAAAGAGTAATCAAAGCGCAAGTAAAAAAATTTCCAAGAGAATAGATCATCTATATATATGTTTAATTAAGCAAGAGAAAAACTATTCTCTTTCTTAACGACACCAGCGAGATATTTTGTTATTTTTCTCTCCTGTTAATGAAAATTTTCCTGTAGTATGCAAAACAGAGACGTTTTTTTTTTTTTAATATTCGCATATGTAGGTAATAATGACGAGACGTTGTTGTTATTGTTATTGTTGAGAAAACGAAATAGAAAAACGCAACACCAGCTATGTATGAGTGAAAATTTCAAAATGGCTACCAAATTGCATTGTTGTTGTTTTTAATGAATACAATATGAGCATAACAAGCAAGCAAGTAACTCAATTTGTATATCTGTGTAGAAAATGTACTAAAATTTTTCGTGGCATAATGAAAATATAAAAACTTTGTACGTACGTACGTACACAACTTCGCTTATTGAGGCCATGCACAGAAGGCTCTATATTACTATGCAAGCATATTCGTCATACATATTAACTATAATACACAATACACTCACTTAATTAGAGTGCTGATGCTTAGAATACCCAGAGTTGCCATCCCATCTATGTAAAGCAAGGAAGCAACTTCTAAAATCACTTAAGCGATATTTTTTGATCAACTCTATTTCAAGGAAAAATTTGATAGTTTTGTTAAAAAAACTATCAAATCAATCAATTCCTATTTATTTCTATTACCTCTTAAAGGAGAAAAACGATTGCATTTCTTAAGGCAGTGAAGAAAGATAATTTTATGCGCTTTACAGCGAAAAAGCTTATGTAATTTATATTAACAACTCACACACGAATGCAAGCGTACCAAGTCAACAAGATGGAAATTTTGCTTTTTCACGTTTTCTATGAATTTTAATATGTGACCTCAATTTCTACAGAGAAAATTACCAACTAGTTTTGCTCTTTTACACCGATACAGAGAATGAACGGACATTTTTTTAAAGGAAATTTCATGTTAATGCAATAGCAGATTGTACTGAAGAAAAAGAAAGAGCGAAATGAACACATGAAAACCGCAGAGACAGGGAGAGGGAGAGAGTCAGAGAAAGTCTTTGAATATAATTGAGCGAATTATATGAGGAACGATAATCAAAGCAAGACAACTTCTTGTTTGATATTTGAAGAAAAGCTTAAAAGTAAAGCTTGAAATTCCTTTCAAGTACAGCTTGAAATACTTTAAAAGTTTTCTATCGATTTCTTACAAAAGAAAGAGTTGCTCTCCAACACCAATGAAATTCAAAGAAAAACTACATAATTAAATACAAACACTTGCGCATACATTCCAATAAAACTTATATACATGTATATGTATATATAGCATACGAAAAAAAAAGTAATCACCACACAATGCTATGATAGCTATGTGAAAATTTGAAAAAGTACAGCTTCACCGTATATATCAATATAAATCATTTTCATTGTACTAAATTGCTTTTCTGTCTTGTCTTCTTGAAAAGTGGCATAAAAACTTTTTTTTTTTCTTTAATAAAATGAGATTTCTCTCTATAAATGGATTACACACCTTGTGAATTTTTATGCTTTAAAATTGCAGCTGTCCTGTTGCTTGGCTTTTCATATAATCGCATTTCCTCTCGTTAGTGTCAAAACAATAAAAGCGGATGTCGCGTTAAGTTGCTGCTTATGGATGATGCAAATAATGTATGTTGATTGAGAGTCTTAGTGCTTATTTTGCTTCTTTCTTTTTTTTTTTTTTTTATTGTTTTTAGTAATGAAAGAAAAGCGTTTTAGCCGCACAAAAACTTTTGACGCTTTTAAGTGTTGCACGACGTTGCTTAACTGTTGAAAAGTTTTCGTTAAAACCAATAGAGCTTCGACTTCACATAAAACCGCATAACAACGAAGCACACAAGCCCAGTAACGAACAGCAATGGCAAACGCAAATACTCGCACACACAAATATGTTTAATGGCCACTCTTTATATAAAGAAAAATTTCCTACATAGTTATTTTTAGTTTAATGTACAATAACTTCTCATGGAAGTTTTACTCTCACTCTCTTTATGTCAATGTTTCTCTTCGTCTCTCAATTATTTATTCTTCAGTTACATGACTTTGCAAAAAATAAAGAAATTTATGAAGTTTTCTTCTTTTTTTTTTTTATGTGCATATAAAGAGATCTTCGGTAATTGTTTCTCTCTCTCAGCAAGTGCCTCTCTATTTCTCTGTCTCACTCTCTCTCTCTCTCTAAAATTTGCTCGGTAAGCAAACAAGTTTTTCTTTTCCTTTCGAGAAGCGCAAAATCTAAACTTTTTTTTTGATGATGATAGCGAGGAGAAGAAGAGTAGAGAAATGTTTGTAGTATATTTGTGGATGACTCGTGTGCATATGCATATAAATTCTATGCAGTACACCAACATCAACTAAAAACAACAACGACAGCCAGTTGCCTTACATTATAACTCACACACAGTCAGCACACGTAAGAATAACAACAACGTCAACATTAAAAATACACGAAAGAAATTTTACTAAATTTACCGTTTGGTTTACGGCCCCTGCATGTAGTCGTGTGAGGTTTTTTTTTTTTTTTTTTTTTTTGTTTTTGTTTTTCTTTTTTCAAGGTAAACATATTGAAATTTCATTATTGTTTGCTTTATATGTTTCATCTTAATCGATAATATATATGTTCTTTAACATAGAGTTTTATCGACGCGGGAAGTGGAAAAGGATATTGTGTATGTTTCTAGAGCGTGTATGCGCGCGTGGACTATTTTTTGCATTTAGATTTCGTTCAATAATTTTCGGAACTATATATGTACGCTTCAAAATCTCTTCTCTTAGTGATAAATGAAAGCAAGTAATTAAAACTATTAATCAGATGATAAGCCCGAAAAAATTTTCAAACAAAAATATATTTATGGAAAATTTGAAAATACTTACTCCTATTATTCACTCCTATTACTACTACTTTATGCCGTATATATGTCTATATCATGTACAGCACTTAGCCATGAATTTATATTTAGTTTATTTGCGTTCATAATGACTTTAGTTGATAAACTTGACTTTTTTTTTTTTCTTAGTCGTCAGCACAAACGACTGTTCAACTTCAAGTTACTGATTAGATGGCACTTGAACGTATTAGAAAATTTATTGTGGCGGATAATAATAGAGGCGTGGGACTGATAAGGATTTATTTTCTGAATAGAAACGAACGAAACAGTATTTCTCCTCCTCCCCACGGATGGTATACAGAAATTGAAAAAACTTGCTAAAGGATTGAATTTCAAAATTTAGTAAAAGATAAACGGGCCAGTGAACCCTGGTATTATAAGGAAAAGTTCGATTCAAATAAAAATAAATGATAATGTTTTTAATAAGCAGACTAGAAAAAGAAGAAGAAGAAGAGGCAAAAGAAATGGAGTTCTCATATTCTCTTCTTCTTAAGGAAGATCTAAGAAAATCAATTCCAGTTACATTCGGCAGAAAATTTCGTCTTGTTTGTGACGATCTCTTCAGTTGCTGATAAAAGCTGAAACGAAACCCACGTTGTTTAAACCGCTCTGGTGTATGTCATTAAAAATAGGATAAAGTCTCCGGTAGTCATAGAGTTTCTCAATGCCGTAATTGTACCCAAATCCACGGTTGCCCTTTTTAGTATATTTCTTTTGAAAGAATCATTTAAGTTCGGAAATCTCGACTTTGCATCATCATCCCAAGCTAACCGGTAGCTCTCTAATCTTATATAGCACATATGAAGTATAGTATTATCTTAAACTCGAGACTTGCTTTCCCTTAGGCGGATGCAGAGTGTTCGATGTCTGAAAATGATGAAGAATACAGATTGATTCCGGCGATATTATAGACCGAAAATTCGTTTTAGTTCCTGCCAAATGCCTTAAGAGGGAAAGCGATAAGAAAAATAGGCAACGTAAAGTATTTATTAGCTATCTGTTGGATTCATTTTTATATCACATTCGTGAAGTCTCAATTATCTGCAAGAAATTATAGCTAATACTAAAATATATGCTTCCCAGCTTTCGACTCATTAAATGCGGGAAAAATTTCATCAAACCGCTGATGAAATATGTCCGAATGTTACACAAAAAGGAAATCTTCAAAAATCATGATCCATTAGCGACAATATGTGGCGAAAGGCAGAGCTCATTATTTTTTGCATTGATCTGGTCAAGTTATTAACAGCTCACTCAGCCGACATCTTCTATAGATCATATAGTATATTAACTCGCGTCATAAGTAGCCTCCAATATTGCCTTTAAAAGACTGTCGTCAAGGTCGGAAGGACGTCCAGCCTTTTAAGGTCGTATCTCCAGAACGGAATTTTACAAGCCAATTTCTAACTGCCCGATCGGTTATCAATCCTTCACCGTACACGCTGCCTATTTTTTTGAACTGTCGCCTTGTTGGAAGTCCCAAAGTATTGGGACATGTCAAATATGCACTTTCTCACTCTCTATTTCAGAGATTAAGAAAAGCAGTTGGATGTAATATGCGTCACATAAAACAGTTGACAGAAGACTAACTAAATCCTCGTCTTTATAGTGAAAACAAAAACTCGTTTTTTCAGTGACTTACAGTGGGTAAATATGAACAGTAGAGTCTACCTACCTTAATCGGAAATCATTACTGAAAGTCTATTGCAAAATTTAAGCTTTTTTCGAGATTCCCTCAATTTTTCCGGCAATGTTAGCTAATAATCAAATTTTGGCCACATATTAATCTTGACTTGAAAAATCAATTTCGATTTCCCTTAAGATTTCTTGAAATTTTAGAAAATGATTTAAGTGCACGGCCGGGCGATCAATGAGAAGTTAATCCAGGATTTTTAGTCAAAAAAAAAACATATAACAATTTTGTTTATTGGTGTTGTTGCTTAGGTTATCTCTTGACTAATTCAGCTAATCGCTTCAACTAATTCAAATTTTTCGTTATTGAAAGTTTTGTAGCCAACGATGTTCAGATAAATAAATCACATACATGTGCATACAAATAAATACGCCTGAGTGGCCGAATAAGTAAAGGATCTCGACTAAAATCTCAATGATCATCGGTTTAAATCTCAAGGGCATTAGGATTTTCAATAGAGTCGAGAGCCTTAATTCCTAGGGCTTTAAGACTTCAGTTTTAAATTAATATGTTGACAACACAGCGGTGTTGAATTATGGCCAATCTTTGCTCAAGGCATTCATCGACTGATCCCTTCTTTTTTTTTTTTTTTGGTTGTAAACCTTTCGTTGCGAGCTAACCTGAGGTCTAAGAAAAATTCTTATTATGCTTTAGTCTTCTCGAGAAAATTTCCATTCCTTACTTACATCGTTCTTACGTATATAATAGCTTGTGATAGTTATATCGCACCTATTAACTTGTTTACCTACCCCTATGTGGGTTGATTCTTATTAGAACATTTTGCTGACATAAGCAGCAGTTCTACGACCCTTTAAATTGTAAACATTTTTTATTATTATTGCTAGTAACCAGGAAAACGCTATTTGTGTGTATAAATGTATAATTGACTGTCCACTAACCATATACAAGCAAATTATCTGGTAGTTAATGTAAAGGGGGATAATGAGCAGATTTAAACAAAATGAAAAAAAGAAAAAAAAAAAGTTATTTTTATTCATCTACTTACCCCTTTCTTTACACAATGCCGGTCGACTGATATTAATCCTGCTTTATAATCTTTCTGTTTACAATTGAAACGGTGTTGTAAAGCGTTTTGTTTGTTGGAATTGGATTTTAGTGCATTTAATTTAAGGTGAAAACAAAGGCCATTTTCAGTATTTTTTGCTTTTTTCAAATTCATTTTCTTCTTCGTTTTATTTGCTTTAGTAAAAAATGTGCTAATGAAGCCATTAACAAACTGGGCACAACATTACTTACATATAATACATAACGAACTGCACCTCACATTTTCTTTTTTACTTTTTTTTGTTTTTTTTTTTTGTTAACAAAGCATTTCAACTTTCATAGCGTTTTGAGAGAAACATTCCGAGAACACAGGAGACTAACGAAGATATTTTTCACTTGGCAACTGAGAAAATGTCTTTAATTCAATTAAAAATATACAAATTTATGTATAATTTCTTTCTTTTATTGTTGTTGGTGTTTATATTTTTCATTAACAAACTTTACAAGTTACGGTTTAATAATAATAATAATTGTTGTTGTTGTTGTTATTTTGTTAATTATATGCGCGCCAACGCAATTGTTTGGGGATTTTTTTTGTGTTTTTTTTTTTTTCTCTAATTTGTTGTTGCTTTTTATTTATTAATTCTTTTTTGTGTTTTTTCTTTTTGCGTTTGTTTAATTTTTGATTGATATAAAAAGAAAGAGAAATCAAGAAAATAAGCGTCCGTATTCCTGAGAGTTTGTGTTGCTACTAAAAAAAACGTTGAATACTAAATACGAAACGATTGCATAGCAAAAAAAAGAAAAAAAAAACAAAAAAAATTCAAAAAAAAATCGTTTCAAAAGTCAACTAACACGAGTGTTTACGAAAGCTGCTTTAAAAGAGAAGAATGTATGAATATTTTTATGTCCCACACAAAAAAAAAAAAAAAAAAAAAAAACAAGAAAAAAGCTTTAAAATATATGTAGGGAGCAAATTTATACGATAATAATGATGAGAATGACGATAATGATGATGATTATGTGGATAATGAAAACAATCATTATCTTTATCGCATCACATCATTTAGACATTATTAGAACTTTTTCGCTTTTTAGTTTTCTAACAAGTACATGCTTCTAAGCAAACATATTAGAAAAACTGTTTACCGCAGGGACTTATTATGACAAAAACATTCGCTTAAATAAGAAAATGATTTAATTTACTCAACCTTCTCTAACTACAGTTAATCGGTAAATTTTTTTTCGACGCTTGTATGTATAAATATGTGTACGAATATATTCAAGTGTTTTTTACTCTTTTACTTCATTCTATTCTCTTTCTTCTTCCCGCATAAATTATAAAAGGCTTTTTTCCCTCCGTAAGTGTTGCTATTAACAATTTTGGAGAGATCTTTTTCTAGCTATTACTTGGTTTTTTTTTTTTTTTCTTTATATAGAATTTTTTTGTGTTATGTTGCTGTTCTATAAAAAAAAAACGAAGGCGAGAGAGAGAGAGAGAGAGAGAGAGTAGCTATAGAGAGTTATTCACATTGCGTATATACATATATATATATATGTATAATGTGTATATATATATAAGTGTATATATATATATATATATATATATATATATAATTAATATGTATATATATATATATAGAAAGGTTTGCATTTAGCACGAGCCATATATATTTATATGCGCACATAAACATACATAAAAACAAACGTCAAAACTATTGTGTGTATATATATGCGCATGAAACCGTGCCATATCTGCAAATGTAAGTAAGTATGTGCAGCACTTGTCTTGCATTGCGCTAAGAGAACTTTGTAAATTTATATATATGTGTATATATATTATTATTGTGATTTGCTGATGACGTTGAGTAAATCAAGACCGAGTAAACATACTTTAAAGCTATTAAATTGGTTTTTGAATGTGTTACGGCTTTTAAATTTAAGACCGCATATGTATGCATACACATACAT